ATATCAACAATTTCAATTTTTATTTTCAAATTTTTCTAGGGGCGTGTTTCTGCCTACGCAGAATATGTTACATACACAAACTCACGAGCTCTCCCAGAGTACTTCATCACAGTTGAAACAAATTCAGATACATGTAAAAGCAACCGGTCTACTGTTAAGGAAACCAGACCAAAGAAGCCCCCAGAGACACTGACTATGCCTAAGCCCACGTCTACATCATCTAAAGAACCACCAACGAAAGTGAAACCTAAACCTAAACCAAAGACTGCATTAGCAGCTACTGCTGCAGTAAGTAGCCCAACCGATACTAAACGTATGTCTCCTTGCCTAAACCAAACCATAACCACTGAAGGACAGGTTAGACCTACAACAACAAGCAGTGACATGCATGCGAAAACCAAGTCCACTGATATGCCCCTAACTTGGGGTAAAATAACTGACGACGAATTTGAAAACAAAATCGCAAAACTTCGTGCAACTTTGCGGAAGAAGAAAATGGGAAATGCTTCCCCAAATGCAGGTGATTTTACACCATGAAACACATTTTAGTCAGTGAGGTATCCAGAGGAGCTTGGGCTTACTAACCTTTTTTTTACTTAATAATAAATAAAATGTGTAAGAGGTTTTATCTTTTATCCAAATGATTTCCACGCCAGGATAGAGATGTTTTAACTGCGACTGAGAGGAAAGTGCGCACTATTTCCCCCACCCCTAAATACGTCTCTTGGCCACAGAAAGACATTGTTCAATTTTGTCTTTACTCATACACTTATGAAGGCAGCTCAGAATTCTATATAGCCTGTGTAGGCCTACATTGAGTATAGAGTACAGTACAGTATTGTTTTGTACATTACTGTCACTGAATGTAATCTTTTAATATTACTAACGTCCGTGGCAGTATCCATAAAACAATACATTTATATACACAATGTTTTCTCATTAAAATTATGTAGAACTATTAATGTGTACATATTTTGTCTTGTAGGTGGATCTGGATGATCAAAGGCAGCTTTCAACAAAGAAGGTTGAACTTGAAAAAAAATTGGTAAAATTTATGGAAGTTACTCAATGCCGAGACGAAGATAAAGGAAGAGAAATTTTAAGTGACTGTAACCTTAATTTACATAACGCAATTGGACAGTATTTCAGCTGATAATGAGTCCAAGGATACTTCTAAAGTACCCAGGATTATTCATATATTTAATGTTATAATGTAAACTTTAGGCCCATTTGCTTCATGATTTTTACAGGCTCATTGACTTACACATGCTTATAAATTAAGCCTATGTTATGCTACATAATATGTTAGTGGAGTGCCACTGTGTTTAATGACACACGGAGACACCTCACGAAACTCCGAGAAGTGATGCAGGCAACGTGATTCTATATTTCTAACTTCATTTCTGAAATTCGGAGTATAGAATCATAAAATTCCGATACTGTAGTTCAATTAAATTTCGTTGATCAGCTAGCCCCGCTTTCTGAGAAAAGTTGTGGTATCCATCCTCAGACTTTTCATATGAAACTTGACTTGCGCATCGTTAACGAAAAGCAATATGAATGCACAGAACTATTATATACCATTTCGTATTACTCGCTATATTATTAGACTAAAATTACCATTGTTATTGACTGTCCACTTTGAATATGATAATATTGAATCCTCTTGTCTTCAACATTGGAATGTGATGTAATGTCTATTCGTTTTGTCTGTTTTTGTCTCGGAAAAAATGCCCTATTGGTTTTTACATTTTGATTCGAATTATCATTATGATAATTTGCATATGTAGTGAATGTTTTTTTTCTCTCTTTTGTGGGAATCGCCCACTTTTATTTCAATACTTTTTCATTTAACACAAATACAGCAATTTGTACAAAATGACGCTCAGGTTGTAGAAGCCCTTAGATACACAGATACCATTTTCAAAAGAGCTTACAGTTTCATTATTATTATTATTATTATTATTATTATTATTATTATTATTATTATTATTATTATTTTTTCATTTTTATATTTTTTATCCTTTTGTTAAACATTATGTCATAATCATAATAATATAAAATTATTATACATCACATATAACACATCATAATTCTTTATGCATATTTGTCTTGTAAATTTCAGCAATACATACACTTTTTGTGTGAATATGTAGTGAATGTTAGCCATTTAAAATAGGCTTACCGGCATGAGTCCTCCGACAGGATTGAGAATCAAAACGTATTTTGTCCCTTCACATAGGCCTTGTGTTGGTGTTTGGATTCCATAAGGGGCCCGTAACCACGATTCCTTATGGGGCGGGTCTCCTTTGACAGAATGATCCAGACCATAAATCGTACCATGGTGGAGTCCAGGAGAAGAGTTTATGTGCTGGTCATGGTCAGATTCTTCAGAACCCAAAGCATAATCTAGCATAAATCATTTTGAATTGCAACATCATTTTTATGGATGGGGGACGGGGTGGTTTGCGCAAAAATTGAGTTCTGCCAAATCATAAAATCCCTGGTTACGGGCCTTTGTATTGTGTTCCTTTTATTTTAAACACAATTTTACCTGAGGATTGCTTGCCAAATAAAGTACTGTACACAATTGTATTTTGCCTCGTCATCTTCTTAATGACATTTTACGTTCCGAAATCACCTTCAGGGAGTGTACACTGTTTATAAAATAAATTGAATTAGTAAATGTATCACATTGTATTGACACAATAACAGTTAGCAATGTAGCTATACGTCTGCAATGGTCTAGTCTGTGTGCTCCACTCTAGTGTTAAACCCCAAAGAGCAGAAGAAAGTTTGCCAATAATAAAACATCAAATGAACAGGTACATAATTGTTGTAGGCGTTTGGATACTTAGTCGGATATTGAAAGCCAAACCAAATACTATTTCTATTACGGTAATGTTATTATCACTTTAAAGATATATACTACTGTAGGCCTCCTTGAAAGAAGCTTGAAAAAACAAATTTAACAGTATAATATTTTGTGTGATTTATGTGTCTAAATAAAAGAAAATGATGCATAAATGATAGCATTCGTAAGTGGCTTACATTTACATGTCAACAGATTTTTATATTTGTAGTCTAAAAAGTAATGATCTTGATCTGTGTTCCATTGGAAGACAACGCAACAAGTGGGCACTAAGATTTTCCGATGTATATCAATATATGCATATCCGAGGAATATCAATCATACTTAGCAACTGGCCAATCGGAACTGGGCCTGGAATACGCGCATGTCCTACAAACATACAAGGCTGTCGTTTTGTCAGACCTTATTATTCTAGGGCGGGTCTTAGCGGAACGGTGTACTTAATGTTGAGAGTGTCCAGATGTTACTAGTGAATTTTATAGTATTGTTTTTAAAGATAAAGCTTAAATGTTTCCCATTGAGGGGTTTGCGTTACTGGACGAATTTTTGTATAAGGAATTAGCGATATTAATCATGACATTGACAAAAACCGAGCACTGTTACCGCACGTCAGGTACGGTACTCCAACCCCGAGAGAGTTTACTTCAGACAGCGTCATTAAAAATCTGATTTTATACCCGTTTGGAAATAAAATGTGTCAAAATGTATGTTTAAATTATTGGAGATTAACCTTTGGCATTTACAGTGAAAGTAATCTGATAGAAACCTTACAAACGATATTTATGTCTATGTCAATAAGTATTTTACTGTATGAATGTCTTGTTCTTTTTCTCAGGGTAGGCTTAAAATAAAGTATCGTCAAATCTAAAGTAGTAATTCTCTGCACGCGTACGTTGAGCCACTAACGCGCTTCCCTCTTAGTTCGTTTTCAGACTATTAGGCCACGAACTATTTCTGATCATAAATAAATCGTAACACATCCGAGTGTAGTCCGAAATCACTTCTTAATGTATTATCATCTTCAATTCTAACAATTTTTAATGATAATATTAATAATTGTTTTTATTACTATTATTATCAATAATATCCTATTATTGCCTTTAAAATGCATTATGTTACCTTGTGCAAACTCTAATAATAGAATAACATTACCGTTCTTTTGTCGGTAATTGTGCATTATGTACATTAAATTATTTTTGTCAAGCGTGTTTTTGAACTGAAATAGAATTCTTTGAATCCGAGTCATAATTATCCGTCTAGTCTTTTTAACCACTCATACAATTTGACATTTTATTAGATGTTTCTAGTTGTTTTTGGAACAAAAAAAAAAAAAAACCAAAAAAAAAAAAAAAAAAAAAAAAAAAAAAAAAAAAAAAACAATGTAGGCATATTTCAAGAGACATGGCATTTTAGCTTTCTTTTCACCGACTGTTCTTTTGCAGCGGATTTAGTGGCGGCACGGGTGGGGAAACACGTTGGTGCGAGGGGAAAGTATTCCTTGCAGTTTTACTGTTACACTATCCTCGTTTTAAATATTTTCAAGTGTTTTTATATGTGGAAAAGACAAGCCAAACCGTCGCAAACGTTATTAATACAGGGTTAATCAGTAAAATGAGAGCTATAAAATGGTAAAAGAAACATTTAAATCTGACATTTCCTTATGAAGTTACAAAGAGTTAAACACACAGCTGTTTAAAGAACAATTTGAGTGGTTAACTTTAAAGATTATGATTTCGGGCATTTCTCAGGCAGAAACCATCACCAAATTGTTAAAAAAAAATTGTTTTAGCATTGAAAATGGGGAAAATAACAGCATATTATGATGTATATATATATCTATAAAGGTTCAATAAAATAGATTTCAAAAATGTGACATTTCCGAATGTACCGTATTGGCCATTATCTCCGAAACATTATTTGCGACAAGTGACTGGTTTGGCTGGTCTTTGCCACATAAAAGCCAGGCTCCAGAGGCAATTTTGCTTTGATATGTTATGTGTTGTGCAAAAAAGTAACTAACTATACTGTTTCTCACAGTTTTGAAATATACAAAAATCTGTATCTTATTAACTGTTCCCGAGTTTGTTTTTTTTTTGTTTTGTTTTTTTTTTTTTTGTCAATTACCTCTTTAAGGTCTTAAAAAAATCAGTTGCACAACATATCAACAAATATTTTCTCCGGGGCCTGGCTTTAATTCAGGAGCCAGGGCACCCGTTCCTGAAGTGAAGGAACGTCCAATTCGAAAGCCAAGTTTGCACTATACATTTGGTTAGGCTTTATTTAAAAATGTATTGTATAAATACAAAGGGCTAATACAGCGTTGTAAATCTTCATTCAACACATTCGAGCATATGCCCATTAAATTCGAAATGTCTGGCTATGGATATGGCCGGTTTATTTTAGTATCATTCATGGTTATAGCATAGATACAATCATTCTATTTACTGCGACCCCATCACATGTCGCGGCAGGATGAACGCACTCAATAAATCGTCCCACTTTAAAAGATAAGTATTGGTCTAGTATGGTAAACCCCTGAACAATAGAGTCAAATAAGTTATCGAACTAGAAACAGATTAGCAGGTTCGAATTTACTATAATTTACAGTCTTTTACTACAAAATATAAAAAACTTATTTCATTAGGCCTACTGGCCAACCTGGGTCTTGCAAAGAAAGAGGAACAGTAGGCCTATTATTTGTGCAGCTGTTCTAGGCGAGGGAATTATGTTCTGTCGTTCTAATTTTCAAATGAAAGCAAATAATTAACTTAAATATAAAAAGTAAGTTATTCGGATATTGAATTATACTCATATAAGTTAATTATTATTAGCTCTGCAGACAGCATGCATATCTTCAATATTTCTAGGCATACAATCCTGTCCTAATTCTTAACAACCACGCTCTGACGTGTGGGCGTTGGCCTACGCACTGGCAGATGTACATAAATTAAATATATAAAATATATACACTTATATTTTAAAATAGGCCCAGAGATAAATAAAAAGAAGACCTTGCTCCCACAGGGGGATTGGACTATTTTGAATAATTTGTTAATCCGCGACGGATTTGGCTGCATGCTAGCTGCGTTATCACTGAGTATAACGTCAATGATTGATGGCTATATTATGGTTCGTAAGTTCTATTGGATTTTTTTTCTCCTTGCCGCTATCACGTTTATTATATTTTTCTTTGTTCAACATTCCGTACAGCCAAGCATTGCGCATGAGACGCATTTGTTCTTCGGATTTAGATTTTTAAAATCAAACAGAAGAACTATCCGGACATCTCCGGAATAGAAATTATCATCGAGGAGCCATTGAAAATGCTATAAAAAAAAAAAAAGCAAAGGACATACCTCGTGCTCAAACACTGACGTACAAACCACGTCAACGATCGACCAGAGTGCCACTGGTCACTACCTATCACCCTAGGTTACCCCACTAAGGGCTATAATTCAGAAACATATGCCCATTCTACAGACCACAGAACGTCTTAGGTCTGTTTTTCCGGATACATCGTCCATAGCCTATCACAGACCACCTAAACTTCGTGATATATTAGTACGATCTAAATTCAAGAGGCAAACTAACTCTTGCGACAACCGTAATTTAGGTAGTCATCTTTGTGGTTCATCATGCAAAACATGCTCCTTGCTTGATTCTACACAATCATT